AGGAATTGGACAAACAAGCAAGACGCCGGTGAGTTTCTGTGATTCATAATTGTAATGAAGCATTATTCGAGAGAAACTTTTGGGAAGATTGTGAGGCAGTGGAGTCTATTGGTAGGCTAAAAGCTTCAAAAACAGACAACCATTCACAGCTACCCACGCCACATTCAGGCTGCCTGTAGAATTGCTTCGAGCATGCCAACAACTCAAGCTAGTATAGAGCGACTGTTTTCGGCTTTAAAGTTAATTTTAAATGATCTGCGGCAGTCTATGAAAGAAGACTTGATTGCTGCAATAATTGTTTACAGATTGAATTATGAATGATTCTAGTTTGTATTGTTGATGGCATTTAGTTTGTTTTAAAACTCTGAATAAAAATAGTGTCTTTTCAAAATTACAGTATGCACTTTTTTATTTAGCTAAAAATTAATTTGAGGCTAAGTGGAGACGGAGCAGAGCTGGAGCAGTCACTATTGGTGCTGGAGTGGAGCTGGAGCAGAGCAATTAAAAAACTTGATTGCTCCAAACCCCTGCCCGAAACAATTTAAAATTGAATTAACTCCTTATGCTTAACTATCTACCACACTATATTTCACTTCACGGGTAGCCATGTTAGTCTGCAACTTCTAAAATGAGTAGTCCTGTGGCACCTTAAAGATTAACAAAAAATATATAGAATCCTTGTAGTTAGCTTTGAGAATCTGAAGTCTGGAGAGATTAAACTGTCATTGTGAGATGGCTTCATTAAAGTGCTAATGCCAGTGCAGCATTTTTACTATACATTTGCCCGAGTACCTTTCCCAGAGATAGGGCTTGTTTTCACCTACAGTGACGCAGTCGTGCTATTGTAACACTTCAGTGAAGATGCTTCTTTGCAGATGTGAGAGCTTCTCTCAGTGGTATAGTTAATCTACATCCCTGAAAGATGGTATTTATGTTGACAGAAGCTTTCCCACTGATCTATACAGAGTATCCTCCATATCTCTGAGCAACATATTTATACCAACATAGGTCTGTAGTGTAGATGTAGCCCTGAAGAACTCTGTGTGGCTTGAAGGCTTGTCTGTTTCAGTAATTGAAGTGGGTCCAATAAGAGATTCTCACCCACCATATACGTCTCATATTCTGGGTCCAACACAACTACAATAATACTGGAAAACAATTTACAGTGTGTCCTGTGTGCTTAACATCTGTACTAAAAGACAGTGATTAATGGGAGAAATGCATAGTGACTAATTATTGAACAGCTCTTCTTGCGTTGGAGACCAGGATGCAAATTCTTCCTTAAGCTTCCAGTGAATTTGATCTCACCCTGTTTTGCAATGGAATCTAGTCCACATTATAAAACTTTTTCATGGTTGTTACTAGGGATGTGACCGTGTACCCTTTTACATGATTAACCCATGCGCCTGAGCTTATGGGTTAATGCTTACAGTTATACACAGCTTCCCCTTGCTGCCTCTATATCAGAGGCAGGTGGGAGCTGGTGTTTGTCAGCTCCCCACAATTACCAGCTCCCACAGAGCTACCTGCCCCTTCCTGCTATCTCTGATATGGCAGTGCAGGGATGGGGCGGGGAGCAGGCGGGAGCCCGCTTAAAAGCTGGCTCCCCATGAGCATCAGTTCTCACCCAGTCCCCCATGTGTAAATGTGTAACTGTGGCAAATTTATAGCAGTTACTTTTTTTTGTAAACATGTATCATCCCTAATTGTTACTGACATGATTTGACTTCTAGTTGGTTTCAGTCTTTGTTCAAGATACTAGATATTTGTGTTATTCTTTTTCTCTGGTTTAATAAAGCTCATTTTAGTTGCTTTACTCTTCCACACCTAAATGATTGAATCTTGTAGTCAAGGGACTAGAAACTTCTTATGTAATTCATTAACATAGAATAGAATACTAGAACTGGAAGGGACCTTGAGAAGTCATCAAGTCTAGTCCCCTGTACTCATGGCAGGACAAAGCACCAGCTAGATCTTGGAGTGGGCCTCTGTCAAAAATCATTGCCCACCCCTGACTTTGGAAAGTGGTCGAGAGCTATGCTGTTCCATGGCATTAATCGAAGAGATGAGGGGTGTGAGATGGAGGTTGGGTGCAGAAGGGAGCTTGGGGTAAGGGATTGGGGTGCAGGAGAGAAACTGGAGCCTGGGAGGGAGTTTGGGTGAAGGAGGCGGTTGTCACCTAGGGCAGGGGACTGGAGTGGGGTTTGGGATAGGACCTAGGATAGAAGGGGATTGTGATCTGGGGCAGAGGAATGGGATACCATATCTGGGAGGGAGCATGGGTGCAAGAGGGGGACAGAGGGTTTGAGTATGTTGAGTGGGAGGCAGAGGGCTGGAGCTGGGAGGGACTGGGGTGCCAGAGATGGGCTGTGGCCAGGAGACTTACTAGCCAGCAGCCAAATCAACCAGCCTGCCTGGCTGCAGAACTAAAGGTTGCAGAGCTTAAAACGTTTCCCTGCCTGCCTGTTTGCCTCGCCATGTGCTTCAGTGAATAACTGAGCCGAGGAGAGGGGGCATGGTTCTTCTTGACTGCCTGTTATTCAAATAAGCATCTCCCATTGGCTGGGGGTAAGGCAGCTTCTGACGCTTCCCCCATTTCCGCCACTTTTGAAATAAATGAAACCTGGCAGCCACGTTTCTGCACAGGGAAGCAAGGGAGCCTGCTTGGGGCTCCCCAATGCCTCTGTGGGCTAGATCCGACCCGTGGGCCGTATTTTGCCCAGGCCTGATCTAGATCATCCCTGATATGTCTATCTAACCTTCTCTTAAATATCTCCAGAGATGGAGATTCTATAACATCCCTAGGCAATTTATTTCAGTGTTTAACCATCCTGACAGGAAGTTTTTCCTAATGTCCAGCCTAAGCCTCCCTTCCTGTAATTTAAACCCATTGCTTCTTGTCCTATTATCAGTGGTCAAGGAGAACAATTTTTCCCTCCTTGTTGTAACACCCTTTTAGATACTTGAAAACTGCTATAATTGGCTGGTTCCTTTTTCCCTTTTCCTTTCTAAACCAAACAAACCCAATTCTTTCAGTCTCCCCTCATATGTCACATTTTCTAGATCTTTAATCCCTTTTGTTGCTCTTCTCTGGACCTCCAATTTCTCCACATCTTTCTTGAAATGTGATTCCCAGAGCTGGACACAGTACTCCAACTGAAACTTAATTAGCACAGAGTAGAGTGGAAGAATGACTTCTCGTGTCTTGCTCACAATACTTCTGTTAATGTATCCCAGAATCCTGTTTGCTTTTTTTTGTGACAGTGTCACACTGTTGGCTCATATTTAGCTTGTGGTCTACTATGACCCCTAGGTCTCTTTCTGCAGTACTCCTTCCTAGACAATCACTTCCCATTCTATATGTGTGAAAATGATTGTTCCTTCCTGAGTGGAGTATTTTGTATTTGTCCTTATTAAACTTCATCATATTTACCTCAGATCATTTCTCTAGTTTGTCCAGATCATTTTGAATTTTGACCCTATCCTCCAAAGCACTTGCAACCTCTCCCATCTTGATATTGTCTGCAAACCTAATAAGTGTCCTCTCTATGCCATTATCTACTCAACTTTGGAAGCCCCGGGGGTCACAGTGATACTCCCAGCACATGCTGAGGGCCATAACTTTAGTGTGGTTGCATGAACAGGCAAATATATATGCAGATAGGTTCTTTCGCTCTAATAGGTATGAATACAAAGATTAAAGCAAGACTACACAACACGCATGCCCCATTTAAGTTAGTTCTGCTGATATTAATAAAATGCAATATTTACCTCATTTCCACCCAGTTGACAGCACTTTTAATGAGTCCAGGAATTTAACTACTAAAACACATATCAACAGAAGGCTATTATATTGACCATTATGGAGGCCACGTTCAAAGGATCCCACCCATGGGCCACGTGTTGAGCCCTGTGTAAACCCAAACTGTTTGTGGCCCACAGAGCAAACAGGTATGATTTGTGTTGAAGCCCTGATCTAAGTTGTTGATGAAGATATTGAATAGAACTGATTCCAAAACAGGCTCCTGCAGAACTCCACTTATTATGCCCTTCTAGCCTGTTTGTGAACGGTTAATAACTACTCTCTGAGAATGGTTATCCAGCTATTTATGCACCCACCTTATAGTAGCCCCATGTAGGTTGTAGTTCCCTAGTTTATTGACAAGGTCATACAAGACCATTTCGTATAGCTATGACTAAGGGGAGCGTTCCAAAGTTCATTACCATAAAATCTTTTTTCTAAATGCCTTTTGATGGCCTTGAATCTTCTTTAATAAATATTTCATTTATGTTTCTTACCTCTAGTATCAGTACCTCCTGGTATGGGATGCATGTTATAGTAGCATGGGAGCACTCCTATGGTTAAGGTTACGTCATGACATCTATTTAAAGGTCAACCATTTAAATAATTTTACAATGTCAATCAAAATCTGTGGTGTATTGTACTTCCTGCAACTCTAATCACTTCAGTTTACATTGTAGATTGGTTCTGTCTTCCTTTGTGTGCACTTCTTCACAAGTTTGTATTATTTGCAGATTTGGAAAGTGCAGAATTTCCCATAAAGGAAATACCTGATAGATCTGGTGACTGTATACAATGTACAGGAGTTTGGTTACTCAAAAATACTACTTCTAGAAGGTGGATACAACAGAAATCTGAGCAGAGCTACAGAGAGCAGGGAGCATTACTGCTTGAAAATCTGAAATGCTTCACCTTGTAACAAAAGCAGATTTGTAATTATTGATGACATCTCCTACACTTGTCTATTTTTAAAATCTCGGGTAGATTTTTTTTGTCACATCCTGTCTTTAGAAACAAGTAGGACTGTTCCCCTAAAATTATCCTAAAACTATTTTTAGCAGCATATTCTAACAGATTAGTCAGAAGTAGAGCATATTTGTTTTAGACACCCTGAATTTCCAATTACACAATGTCTGGCTCATAAAACATTTCTAAAGTAGAATATTTATTTTAGATAATTTTGAACATGTTTCAACAGTGGCCAGCAGCTTGCCAGACTCTTGCACGTAACTTTCACTTCACGGTCTATGGAAAGAAGAATGCATCTGCTAAAGTTTCTGATTCGGTAAGTTAATGTTTATCTTTGAGGTGGTCGTCTTTCCTCAGTGTATAATTGTAATGTTTCTGGAATTTGAAAGAAGAGCATAGACCTGCATTATCAGAGGTTTTTTTGTGGGGAGGGGAGGTTGTTTTTGTTTGGAAGAAAATTTCAGTATGGGCTATGAATTGTTAAATGGAGCATGCATTGACTTTAGTAATACTGCATTGACTAGAAACTTCTTACATGATATATTCTCACTATATTAAGCTTGTGATACAGGTAAAATCAGTGATGTGCACAGTACCAGAAACTTAACATGTATACTGGATGATATAAACTAAAATAAGTGTATTTTGTAGTTAAACGGACACGCAGTTTGAGAGAGAATTGTTTGACTTACTGTCTTAATACGGTAATCTTTCTCCTCAGATTTCTACACAATATCCCGTAGTGGACCATGAATTTGATGCTGTTGTTGTGGGCGCTGGTGGGGCGGGCTTGCGGGCTGCATTTGGTTTGTCAGAGGCTGGATTTAATACAGCATGTGTTACAAAGCTGTTCCCAACCAGATCCCATACTGTTGCTGCACAGGTAAGAATTTAAATACAATTAGTTTGACATTAAATGTTCTGATATTTTCATATCAGAGTTGGTGTATGTAGCATTATGATTCGTAAGTTGTCTGAATTTCAGTCCCATTTCCATTAGTAAGAATGGATATTAGGATCTAAGTAAAACAGTCTAGGGAAATTGTATATGTTTGACTCATATTCCGTGTCTTAAAACAGAAAATATATTAACATGCCACTTCATTGTATGCATGAGTCTCTATATTGTTGTAATGAAACATTCTCCTATACAAAATGTTTTAGCCTAAAAGGAATGAGATGTTAACCATTGTGTAGTTGATTATCATAATTTCTACTGTATAAATGAAAGATAATGTGGGCTAAGTAATATCTCTTATTGAACTAAAATCTTTTGGTGAGGGAGACATGCTTTTGAGCTTAGAATTTTTTCAGGTTTGCATGCTGTATGAGATGAGACATAAATTTAACTTGAAAATAATTTGTCCATTATCCTAAATGCTATTTAATATTGTGTGTTTTAATGGGATTGAGGACTGGATTGGCTTTTAAGATTATGCGATTTAAGTGTCACTTTGGGGAGATACATATTTCATTTTCAGGGAGGGATCAATGCTGCTTTGGGAAACATGGAAGAAGATAACTGGAGATGGCACTTCTATGACACTGTGAAAGGATCTGACTGGTTGGGGGATCAGGATGCTATTCATTACATGACAGAGGAAGCACCTGCTGCAGTTGTAGAGGTAAAGCTATTCATACTGAGATTGATTTCAATGATCTGCAACACAAATCAGTATCCACACGGATGTTTTAATGATACAGAGATTAGACTGGAATAGCAAACTTTGTATAAAGAGAAACTCCTTCTTTGGCTCCTTTCTTGAGGGTGGATGATAGATTTGTTAGTGTTACAAAGCAGCCGTAACAGTAACTTGCCTATTGTTGAAGTCCACAGCTATATCTCTAATACTTTGTTTGTACTCACCAGCTGGAAAATTATGGAATGCCATTTAGCAGAACAGAAGAAGGGAAGATCTATCAACGTGCCTTTGGTGGACAGAGCCTCCAGTTTGGGAAAGGGGGACAGGCTCATCGATGTTGTTGTGTCGCGGACAGGACAGGACACTCACTGTTGCACACCTTGTATGGCAGGGTAAGAGGCTATGAAATGGGGGAGAAAAGTTTGACTTTTGTTTAACTAGTGGGAACTGTAGGCGTTTAAAAAGCAATGCTATTGATTCTAACAATTACTTATGGGCTCTATTTTACTAGAGTTTAGAGTCAACAGGGAATCCAGGAGAACTCCTAATCTTCATTCCAGGCCCCCTTTTTCTTCCTGTGGCATGCCTCTGCCTGATATCAGCATGACAAACAGAAGAAGCCTGAGAAAAGAATGTGCTTCTCCAGCATGTCTTCCTAGGGAAAATGCATAGATAGTAAGGTCTACTCATTACACTGCTCTACAGCCAAAATGCTTCTGAAATAAATATAGTCAAACTTTACTAGTTCTGGGTCACTGAGAACGAAAATGATGCTTAAAATTGTTGATTGGCTCTAGTTTTCAAGATATGCTATTGGGTCACTATATACGACCCTTGACTTGCGAATGGCGGAGGATAAGTGAGTTATAAAGGGAAGGGATCTCAATTTAAACCAGAAATGACTAAAATACATCTTTGACTGGATCTATGAATAAATCTATGACTGGGTTTGGACAGTACTTGCTTTTTAGGCAAAACAATGAATGATGCAATCTGAAGCTGGTATTGCATCATACATGATATGAATTGCATCATGTTATTCCTAGAAGTCATGGATGATGCAATCATAACGAAGCTTACATCACGCTGCTGAACAAATTGCCCTATATCAGCTCTAGAAATCATACAGTCTCATGCTATCTTATTTGTCAGTGTTTGATTTTTGCAAAGGGACACATTTCTGTTTAGCCAAAGTGAGCAGAGATGCCTCATACTTGTGTGAACAGTGCAGATAACTTCTGCTACATTTGTGGTGAAGTGACTTTTGCATCACAAAAGCTCAGTATAACCACTATGGTTAAGAGAGCCTATCACCTTTATTTTGGCTGCAAAATTGGAGATCAGGACAAGAGGTGGGCCCCACACATCCTGCAACAGTTGTGCAACAAATCTTTGCCAGTGGTTGTACAGGAAAGGGAAATCTATACCTTTTGGCAGTGCCAATGATTTGGAGAAAGCCAACAGATCATACCAGCAATTGTTACTTCTGCATGGTGCCTCCAGTTGGGAAAGGTGTGTCAAAGAAGAAAAAGTGGACTGTGCATTATCCAAACATTCCATCAGCTATACACCCAGTACCCCACTGAAAAGGACTGCTGGTTCCTGATGCACCAGAATCATTCTCACTTGAGTCAGACAGGAAGAGGATGAAACTTCTGGTCCTGAACCATCAATGTCACAGGACCCACATTTTCTCCCATCCTCCTCCTCTGAACCCCACCTCATAACACAAGGTGAACTGAATGACCTTGTCAGGGATTTGGAACTACTCAAGAATAAGGCAGAGCTGTTGGGTTCCAGACTACAGCAGTGGAATCTCCTGGCAGGTGATGTTAGGGTTTCCATGTTCCGTGACCGTCAAAAGGATCTTGTCCCATTCTTCTTCATGGAAGGTGATCTTGTAGCCTGCAACAACATCCATGGTATGATGGCAGCCCTCAACATCGTTCACGATCTAAATGAGTGGAGACAGTTCATTGATTCATCGAAGACGAGTCTTAAAGCTGTTTTGCTGCATAATGGCAATGTTTTGCCATCAATTCCAGTTGGTCATGCAGTCCATATGAAGTAAACCTATGACAACATGAAACAACGTTTGAGGTTCATAAACTATGACCAATGTCAGTGGCAGCTTTGTGGCGATTTGAAGGTTGTTGCTCTCTTGCTTGGTCTGCAGACTGGATACACAAAGTACTGCTGTTTTCTCTGCGAATGGGATAGTCATGCAAGAGATTCCCACTACATCAA